TGACTCATTCAATGTCTGAATTTGCCCTCCTTTCACTCTTGCGCAGCACGAACAATACTGACGAAAGGATACGTCCTTGAGAAGAACCAAATTTGTCGAGTTTGACGCTTGACTCTAGATGCCCAATGCTGAGAACTTGTTGCAAGTTGCTAAAGTAGTTCCAACGGAGGCAGATAGTTCAGGGGTTCACGCCCATTGTTCCAAAAAATGAATCTGGATGTTGAATAGCATTGCCCTGTAAGTAGAGCTCTAGGCTCTAGTCCATAAATGCAGGGCATCCCACTTTGCATGTATCATCGAAACTTGTGGCAGCGCAGCCAGCGATAGTGACAATTTAAAGACAACGTCTGCTGAAAATCTAACTAAAAACCTTCTGATTCTTTATAAATAGCAATACTGTTATTCGCCTATCAACTCTGATTGAATCGCAAGTGAGTCAGTTACGATTCAAACCACCAATCTTCCAATTACAAATAAAATAAGGCATATGACTGATTACTGCTGCACAGTAAGTATGGTTTAACGGATAACACGTAAAAAGTGGGTCACTGCAATTATTTTGCAGCTGACCTTCCAACTTTGGTTCAGAAATTTTTTTCTGGCAATAGCCGTTAGAAATTTGCGGTTTAACATGACATCATAAACCAACTGATGAACGATCAATCTTTGTGTGGAAAGGATCGATGAAATCTGGAAAAATAATGGCCTCTAACTTATAGTAGAAATAAAATTTCTTGACTCGTTGGAATTTAGGCCCATAATACGGAATTTGGTACGGTAAAAAATAATTTTTCAGTTTTAAATTAATTCGTATTATGTAAAGTGCTATAAAGCATGATTGCTTCCAAACACTTAGTTCTTCTAAGTCTAGTTTCAAGGCTTATGACACTACTTCCAGTTTCGTAAATGCGTAGGTTATCGTTCAAGCAGGCCATCGATCCATGGCATTACGATACGTCTAATACACTATTCAAGGTGCATCACTTTGTTTACCACAGCTATGCCTTACTGGTTACCAACGACATAGCAGAAAGCATCGTTCTTTATTTGGTTCCGCATAATATCGCTGACAGTTCCATTGCACGCTGCCATTTTCTAATGATATTATATTATCCTGTGGAAACACCGTATAAATCTGGTTAATTATGCACAATGCAGCATACGTAGTTCATCAGATGATATCCATCTGCTAGAATTTGGATTAATATTCCACAGCCCTCTTTGAGGTTAGACTCGCCGTTTTCGGCTATGATTTATCAGTATCTACTGTACATTTTCTGAGACCAATGCCTTTACCCTTGTGCATAGGCGAAACCTCCCTGGTTTGCCATGTCCGTTGTACTCGCAGGTCTTCAATAGTTTTCTGTACAACGTACCTTCCTGCATTATAGAAGAAGCAGTTTCTCTCCAGTGGCAGATCTGCCTTTACCTTGTTTCTTCAGGTTGAACGCTCACCTCCTAGTCGGTGTCGTCGCTTTTCGACTCTCATACGAAGTGTCAGTGAACTGCAGAGAATGGTTTGCGCACAATCAATTACTCCAATAATGTCAACCTCATTTTTTAATCTTCTCTACTACTGAGGTTTAACTTTGACAGAAATGAGATGGATTCGTTCCTTACATGGCCTTGCCATTTAACTCTCATTACATGCTAGAACCTACGCTTTTGCATGCAATTTGACCGTCTGTCTTGGTCCGTCCGCTGTTGCCATGCCGTGGAAGATCAGTGACCTAACCGAGGTATAGGTAAATTTTTGTTGAAGACCCACTCCTTTCTCAGTCCAGATATTGAAAATAT